TTTTTTTTTTTTTTTTTTTAACGAAGGAACGCAAAATGGACGGCACGTATTCGAGAAATATTATCAACGATTTGTCTCTCATCTCTATATATATATATATATATATATATGGGTGTGTGTGTGGGTGTGTATTTCTTTTTCTTTTAAATAATTTTTCTTCGATTCGAGAATGAAGAAAAATGATGGTTACGATGATTACAATTATCCTTGAAGAATATAAAATGTTTCTACGAGATTACATTGTTAATCGATAAATTTATAATAATTATTACGTTTGTCGTTGATTTTGTTTCGAAAGGAAATAAAATAAAAATAAAAAAAAAATAAGAAAAAGGATGCTAGGTGTTCTTCGGCACACACACGCACACGCACGGCAGTATGTATATATATATATATATATGTATTTATATAATTTTTCATGGAAAAAAAAATGTTCTTACAATTAAATCCTTCGAACTCGATGAAGAACGATCCATTTATTTATTTATTTATTTAATTTTCTTTTTAACTTTCTCACTTTTTTTTCTTTTTTTTTTTTTTTTTTAATTTACCACAAATGAATAGAAAAAGAAAAAAAGAAGGGAGAAAATTTTGCACAGCACAGCATGTTTGCATTTTTAATGAATATTATTATTATTATTATTATTATTATTATTATTATTTAAAATCTTAATTGATATTACAAATCGAGAGAAAGTTTTATATATATATATATATATTTTTTTTTATTGAAGGGTTGGTTGTTGGTTGGTGATGGTGGTGGTGGTGGTTATGGGGCCGAGGTGTTTGGAGTGTATTATTTTTTCAGTATTTTTCTTTTCTTTTTTTTTTCTTTCCTTTTTCTCATTGGCGATTATTATTATTATATCGATATTATTATTATATTTAAATGTTCGATATATTGAAATATACAATTTACAATTTTTCGAGACCCAATCGTTTCTAACAATTGACACAATTATAATATAGTCTGGTGTTAATGTTTATTATTATTATTATTATTATCATTATTATTATTATTATTTATTTTCATAAGTTCTTCATCACACCCCGTTCCGTCGTTTGTGATAGTAATATTATATTTAATAAAAAAAAAAAGAAAAAAAAACAAAGAAGAAAACATTTCGATCCTATAAAACAAATTTAATAAAAATAATTCGATCATTTTTTGTTTGTTTTTTCATCGATATAAAAGAATAATAATAATAATAATAATAATAATAATAATAATAATAATAATGATATAGAAAAATGTCTCTTCGTATTAATTTATCCACGTCTATATCATCGATCTTTTTTTTAATCTTTTGTAACAATATATTATTTAACGAGAGAGAACGTTTTTTTTTCTTTTTTATTTATATATTTATTTATTTAAATAACAAAACAAATTAAATTAAAATCAAATCAAATAAAATGTTTCGTCGTCGTTGTCTTCATCATCATTGTTCGAGGATCGCAAATGGATTTTTTTTTTAAATTATTTTGTTGTCGTCGTTTAGGGTGAAAATAAATCAATTTTAAATAAGGGAGGAAATGTTTTCTCTCTCTCTCTCTCTGTCTTTCTCAAACATACACACACACAAATATACATACAAACACACACATACACGCGTATACAATTTAACTTTTACAATAGTCACGCTCACAATCAGTCTCTCTCTCTCTCTCTCTCTCTCTCTCTCTCTTTCTCTTTCTCTTTCTCTTTCTTTCTCTCTTTTAGTTCTTTTTTTTTTGTGTTATCTTTTCATTCTCTCTTTTAACTCTTCGAGATCAAAATTGCATAATTAATATAAGATAATAAATGTTTAACAATAAATTGCGACGAGACGTTATCGTAAGCAGCAATAAACGACAACTAACCCCCTCCACCCCATCCCTCCCTACCCCTAACCCGATCGATCAATTAAACAAACTCTTTAACGAAATTTTTTTGTTGTTTTTTTTTTCTTTTTTTTAATAAAAACGATCAATAAAATATCTCGAATAGAAGATTAGAATAGAAGAATAGATAAATCGTGTTCATATTGTGTAATCCCTTGTCATATAATCGAATATATATATATATATTTGTATTATTATTATTATTATTATAACAATATAAACCCAACCCTTTCGTTCGTTAAATATATTTTATTTAAATAATAGAACGATAAAAAAGAAATAATACATACGCAAACAATTATTTCAGTTACTGTGTGTTTTTCTTCATTCTGCTTCTTTCTTTCTTTCTTTTTTTTGTTTAAATATATATATATAAAAAAAACAAATAGATATATATATATATATATTTTTTTTTTCTTTTTTTTTTTTAATCGATAGCACAAGGAATTATTTATCGGATTTCAACCGGTAACAGAATAATTCTTCTCGTCGTCGTTGAGTATCTCGTCGATCTGCTTTTCCCAGTCCTCCTTATCACCGATAACGTCGTTTATCAAGGCGTTGTTTTTATCATGGCCACTCGAGACAAATTCGTAATCCTTCAGCTCGGCTTCCAATTCTCGTTCCCAATCTTCTTCTGCGGAGAGAGTCACAAGGAAGCGTTGGTAGCTGCTATTTTAGCCATAATAGGGCTAATGGTATTGGTGTTGTTGTTGGACTGTATTGTATTGTATGTGTTGTATGGTGTCTGTGTCTTTCTATGTGTAGTATATATATTTTTTTTTCTTGTATCGTATGTGACTGTGTGTATATATTATGTAAATGTAATATATATATTTATTTATTTATTTATTTATTTATTTATAATATATACGTGTCTCTCTCTCTCTCTCTCTCTCTCACCCTCTTATATGTTTTTTTGTTTTGGTTTCATTTACGTACGTGTCAAATGAATTATTTTTGTTTGTCTTTCTTACACCCCCTCCCCAACTCCCACCCTCCTTACGCTCACGTAACTTTTTTTTTGTTATTTTTATTTGTTTTTTACCATGTAATTATATGTGTGTATGTGTGTATGTGTGAGAGATTAAAAAGGAATAGAAAAGATACTGGGTATGTTTTTTTCTTTGTGTTCTTTGTAATAGGTTTAGAGAAGATAAGGGTACGTGTAATTTGGGGTTTTAAGAGCAAAACAAGAACTTAAATTCACGAAAGGGATGTGATGATCGATGATGATGATGATGATGAATGGTGATGGTAGAAGATAACCGAGGAAAAAAAATGTCGTGAAAGAAATAATGTTGGGATTTATTATTATTATGCGATACGCGAAATATATGAGAAATTTTCTTTTTTTAGGCTTGCCGACGTGTGATACTTCACTTTTCATTTTTTTCTTTTATCTTTTAAATGTTCTTTAACGTATTTTACTCTCCTTCTCTTTATTTAATTTCATTTCATTTCATTTGTTTGTTTGTTTGTATTTGTACGCTTTTGCCCTTTTCTTTTTTTATTCCTTTTTTTCTTTTCCTATATTTTATTCAATTTTTACTTTTTCTTTTTGTTTTTCCCTGTCTCTACGATTCGCGATAATACTTGGAATGTTTATTATTATTATTATTATTATTATTATTATTATTATTGGAGATATAAATGAATTTCTTTTTTTGTTTCCTTTATGGGAATGTACAAAATTCGGGGCTGAAGATGAAGAATCAGAGACCACGAGCAACACGAGCCAGCATAAAAACAATCTGCTAATTGTTTTTAATCGTTATAATCCTGATGAAAATTTATAATATTTATCATTTTTTTCTTTTCCTTTTTTTTTATACAATA